ATATTTAAGAACAGACCTTAATTGCGACTTAAAATGTTTTATGTGATTTTTTTTTTGCCTTTGATCAGCAAAAATGCCCTCTAAGATGAGAAAACTGGACAACTGGATGATGACAATTATAGACAGAGTGCCTGACATGCAAAGACAGCATCTGCCAGGCAGTAACTGCTCTCTGCACATCATCTACACACCACTGGAAAGGTTTAATGGAGGGATAACACTCACTAATACCTCCCTCATCTACTAAATCTCTACATCCGGTTACCAAAATGTTCATCCACAGAAAAATAAGTGGGAAAGTACCACCACCAGCTCAGCTACAAATATATCAACCACCATGTACTGCTGGGACAGTTTCCTTGCCAGCAAAATAAAGCAACAGCAGGGTCTCCTCCCAAAAATCACAGTATTAGCTCAAGAGCAATGACATGCCCAGGCAACCACTGCTGATCCTGATCTTGGAGGGTTAGGAATTCTGAGAATAATTCCCTAAGCCCACAAGCTTCTTCTGAAGCTCAAGACAAAATCAAAACTCAAGAGTCCAGCCCCCAAGGCCCTTCTCTGTGTTTGCATAAAGCCTGTACACCAACTGGGGGTTTTCTCTTGGGACTTTTTCATGTTCATATGTGTGCATACAACTCATACATCACACTTGCTGCCTGTCCATTTTTATTTCAGATGGCTAAACTGAAATTATTTGATTAGTTAGTATGAATGATTTTTAATGACCCAAATTAAAAAAGTCAAAATTTACAGTAAATATTAAACAGGGAGGATATAATTGACTAACTCCCTTCTAACACTCCTTATTCTTCTTCTATTATTAGACCATAGTTCCTCCTTTTTTCACTCTCCTCCTGTTATTACTTACTTCACTCTATTTCAGCCTTTACAGAACTGTTATCTAATACATCTACTAGAGAGATACATATTAGATATATATATAATCTATCCAATATTTTTATTTTTACCTTTGAAAAGGTAAAAATACACTATTTAAGAATTGGGCTGGCCAACACTTTCTAAAGTTTTTCATTTCCACTTCTCGATTTCCTGCTGGTGCTGTTTCTGAGCTCTTCAGGGAACTACCAGTGACTAGTTCTGCATCACAGACTCTGTTGAAACGAGTGCCACAGTTCTCAGCAGCACTGCCCCACACAGCCTTCCCTGTGTGGTTTGATTTTGACTCTGCAGTCTGGGGGGGCACTTTGTGAGCACAAATGCATCAGCAGCCTATTTCCAGAGCAGTCCCCGACCAAACTTCCAGACCAGGCACAGACTAAACATGAAGGACTGCAGAAAATATCCAAGAATTATTATGCAATATAGGAAAGAATCTCATTCAGTTCAAGTAATTATTTGGTCAGTACCCATTGTTATAAACAGTTGATTTTAAACAACAGTTGAACAGTGATGATGCACTCACCGTTAATACAAATCCATCCCCTACCTGTTGGCTATCCCTCAGTTAAAGCAAGGCACAACTGGCTTTAGCTTCCAGAGGATTTGCTGCTTTTAGTACAGAAAAAAAATAAATCATTATTTGTGTCCACAGTAGCAAATGTTATTTAAAAAGAGAATTGATATATAAAGGAAGAGAGCCAGGGCCTTTCCTGTGCTCTTGCCTCAGTGAAGCTACAGCAGAGACAAGTGAACTCAGCCCTCCAAACCACACCTGCACTGCTGTGTGAGGGAAAGCTCAACCCAAACTGTCTTCAAAAGGTCCCAGATTTTTACAGGTTTGGTTTTGGAGTGGAACTGCAAAGTGGGGAGGGAACGTGCTGATTTGGGGGGTTATTCTGTTCGGGTTTTTTTACAAGAGTCGTCATAACAACAATTTGAAATTTTAATACATTCCAGGGAACCTGATTAAAATATTATAACAAACAAGAGAAACATACTGGAAATGCACCAAGCCACATAAATTGCGTCATGTTTTGGTAAGGCACTCATACAGAAATTATTTGGGTGTCTTTTTTTGGTTCTTTTATTACTGGTATTATTCAGTATTACAGTTCTTTCCAGGAAGCTTCAGAACAAATACCTTAATTCTACAGGTACACGTGTATCAAAACATTAACTACTGGAAGCCTCTGTAAAGACTTGGAAACCACCAATACCCCAAACATTATGTTTGAACAAGGTGACGAGGTTATATTGACTTTTTATTTTCGGTCCAACTTAAACGGGACAACATTTACCCTCCAACTTTTTGGTCGTGCCGACATTGCATTTAAAAACTGAGGTCAAAGCTGAGTAAAGGACAACAAATGGAAAGAAGATTTTCTGCAAGTCTTCATTTTGGGAGATAAATTTAAGATTGAGAAAGGGTTTGACTGAGTACCTATTGTGCCTCGTGGTCAAACCCAGACAGGTTGAGGAATGGGAGTAGTTCAACTATTCCTGCAGCCACTGTTATAAAAAGCATTTCAGCCAACTATGACTTGCAAAAGTCACTGCAACTCAGCTGCTGGGAAGCACCATGGAAATCAAAAAGGATGTTGAATATTTAAGTGATGCTGCAAATTTCTTTACCCAGTTTTCAAACCTCAAGGTTAACAAACCCCATTATCATTCAGCTTGGCCCAAGAATCATCTTCCTCTCTCAAGAGTCACAAGACAGTTTTCTGCAGCTATCACACACTACAGCAAGAATTAACCTAGAAATTAGTAAACCCTTCAATACAAAAACCTGTAGATTAAAAACTGCCAGACTGTCTGGCAGTGGTGGTGCCCCCAGTCCTGTTTTAAGAGTCACACAGAACAGTTGGACGAGTTACAGCCTCGCTCCCTTTAGGACCAGCTGGCTCTGCTCTCTACTTTGCTACTTTCCCTTTCAAGCACATATTTTAAATAGAACCAGGTTATTTACATTGTTCCTAATGCTTGACCTGCATCAGCTCCACTCACCTGAGCTCCACAGTGTGTGCCAGACTGTGTCAATATTTGTGCTTTTACTAACTAATAATTAACTCTAGCTGTATTAACTAGATAATTGCTAATACTGCCATTAGCACATACAGTAATTCCATTAAGCACCATACTGGTGTTATATCCTATAGAACAAGATACTCACCAGAAACACAGACCTACAACCACACTGCTACAAAAAATATGAAAACTCACACGTATGAAAATCCCTAAACATTGGGGGAAACATCAGGAAGCCCACATTTCAGAAAAATAGTCTTTGTGCCTTTTATCTTACTGCTCGCAGAAACAGATCTTATCTTTTGTGTTACTTTCTAATAAATTCACTGTTTAGAAGAGGCCATTGGGTAAAGCCTGTTTCAAAGGAGCAGAAGCCACTCATAACTTGAGGAAAGTACTCAACCAGCTGGACTCCAATGCTTCTACAAGTAAAACATGTACATCACAGAAGCTCTTAAACCTGTAGAGAAGCTTAATGGTTTTTTTTTGCTCTGTCTTTAGAGCTCCTTGCAATTTTCCCCTTCCCCAAAAGCTAACCACAAAAACTCTAATGCTCCATCTTTGTTAATGAAACAATCCCACTGCCAAGTCACGATTAACCCTAAAAAACTTGGCTAAATTCACCAGAGGTGCAGTTCTGCTTTAATGTTCACTTTAAGTGAACTCCTCAATACCCTAAAAGCAACATGGAAGTTTCACCAATACCCTAAATATTTAAAATTTTTAACAAAATGAGAGAAGCAGTAGACTCTTACAAAGTAAGACTTGACTGCTAGACACACAAACCAGAAAATAATCCATTTACTCCTCTCGACCTTCCTTGGCTAGACTAACTCAATTAGTTTCCCTAAACCACCAGATACCTGCCAAGATTAAATATTTGGGTTTAATCATTCAGAAAGTGAAAGACTATGCACTGTAATGTAACACTTTTTACGGAAACCTCTGCTTAAGCAACAGTTCCAGAAAAAAAATTGTGAAATAAAGTAAAAAGCTGTCCAGAACACCACACTTCCACTCTGCTAATTCAAAACAAAAAAAAAACTTTCAGAGCCAGGTACCAAGTCAAGACCTCATTTTTAGCAAAGGAGAAGCGGCACGTTTCAAAACGCAGTTAACTCCAGAATAACAACCATCGCCGGGAAGTTATTAAATATCATCATCCCCTGGCCAGCAACTTGTGCTACGCGCAGACCTCATGACGGAACGGCGATAAAAATGTCAGGGCTAATTTTTAGCACCGCGTCGCATTAATCCAGGTATAGGATAACCCAGGCTCGCCGAAGGGAAAGCCGGGACACAGACACGGCACCGAGGGGCTGAGCAGGAGCGGGGCGATTCCGGCTGACGCAGCGCGGCTGCTGCGCCGAGAAACCGCACGTGGATGCGGGGAACGCGCGCGGGGGGACGGGGGAACACGGGAACACACACACACACACGGGGATCGGGGGAACGCACACCCGCCTGGGTCCGGGGAGCACACACACGGATCTGGGGGACGCGCGCACAGACGGATTTGGGGCACACGCACACAAACACGCACTCCCCGGCCCGTGCAACATGGACGGCCGCAGGGGAGGGCTCGGCCGGCCCCGCCGCCGCCGCCGCCCCCCAGGGAGCCCCTCGGGCCCGGCCGGGGCCGGCGGGAGCCTCGGCCCGCCGGGCACAAGGAGGAAGGAGAAAGTTTTACCCCCTCCCACCGCGGCCCAGCGCAAAGTTCCCGCCGCCCCCGCGCCGCCCCAGCCCCCGGCCCGCCCGCGCCGGCCTCCCCCGCCCGCGCTGACAGCCCCGCGCCCCTTGCCCGCCGACCCCGATCCGCGGCACCGCCGCGGAGAACCCCCCGCCCCGCGGCGGTGACAGCCCCGCCGCCCTCACCTCAGGCGAGGGCCGCGCTCCGCAGGGCGAGGAGCGGGCGGCGAAGGGGGTGCGGGGGGCAGCGCGCTCGGTGCCCGCGCCCTTATCGCATCCCAGCGGAGCCCGGCTCGCCCCCGCCGCCTCCCGCCGTGTGGGCGGCTCAGGCGGGATCCCCCCTCCCCTCCGCCGCCATCTTGGCTGTCACGGGGCGGGGGAGGCGGGTGGTGACTCGGGAGCGTGGCGGGGCGGGCGCGGGTCCCGCCGCTTCGTGAGGGGGAGGCGGCCGTGCCCCGCCGTCCTCCGGCTCCCGCTCCCTTCTGAGGGCTCCCCTCGCGCCGCGTCCCCGCCGCTCCCGCCTTCCCCTTCACGCCGCGGGTCCGGCCGCTCCCGCCTTCCCCCTCACGGAGCGCGGCGCCGGCGGCTCCGAGCTGTGAGGGGGGAGCGGGGCGCCCTCGGTGAAAGCGCCTAAAACGCAACGCACAGACCGCAGACCTCCCTCCGCCTCAGCCCTCTGATCTAAACGACACCTTTAGATTAAACAGAAATTTATCTCCGGCCCAAATAGGCCGGGATTTGGCTCACCTGCGGCGCCCGTCGCCTGGACCCGGAGGAGGTGCCGGCTGTCTGGAAAACCAGGGATGAGAAAACCGAGGGATTTTCTGCAGGCTTGATGTAACCCGCAGCAGGCTGTTGCATCAAAGACTAGAAAAAGAACCCGGGACAAAAATAATCTTTTAAGTGCGTGCAGCTAAGATTAGTGCAGCGTGTCAAGATGTTGCTGAGCGCTACAGAACGAGTCCTGCCTGTACCAACACAGAAATACTACTTTTCTGGCATCTGCAACCCCGAGTATCCAAATTTTATACCAGAGTGATGTTTAGGGATAGGATCCGACCATACAATTTTGGCTTTAAATTCAAGCTTCCCTCCCTTCTAGATGTTGGGCTTGAGGGTTTAGATGTGGCTCGTCATAAAGACACAAGATCCGTATGAAATTCTGAATTTGTACTGTGAATATGTTCAAACCTACTGTATTGCTTTACCTCATCCCTCTGAGAAATCCGACCAAATAGGAGAATATAAAAGCAAAAAAGTACAAAATAGGGCTTTCCCCCCCCCCCATGCTTTTATTAATTTGATTGTTTATAGCAGAAATGCTGCTCCTCCTACCCCTCAGGTAGGAAACGCCACAGCTGACACAAGCTAGTCTCTACCCGGGCAGCAGCATTAAATTATTTAAAGTGCTGGTAGAGATTTTTCCAAATCAGTTTCTGCTATGTTTTAATCCTGGAAATGCTTTTCAAGTAAATAACAGTGGTGAAGTCCATCTTCTGGCTCGTGATACTAATTTGGATATGCAAAGTGTTCTGTTCTCTTTGCCCTTGCTGGTTTTCCATGTGGGCATAATTTTTAGCCTTCAGTGTTAACACCCAAGATTAATGGGTATGTTCCTACTTCTAAGAGTATTGTTTCAGCTGCTGTTGTACTGAGGCAAAATCCCCGCACAGATGTACGAATAGTTCACTTTGCAGGGTATAAGTTCACAGCCATGAAAATATTCTTGACTATTCGTAATGGAAACTTGCATTTTAGAGAAACAAAGTTCTTAAATATTCTGTGGCAGTTTTCAGCTCATTTTATAGGTAAAATTTTTTGTAGATGTCTTTGATTTGCTGTTGATTTATTTCCCTCCACCATTTCTGTCCTTCTAGGATTATCTGCATTTAATTACACGTTGTGTCAAGGTCAACAAATTGCTGTCGAGGATGGGGATCTCGCTGTGCAAGGCCTGACACAAACACCAGTAGAGTTTCTGCCCATCACAGCCAGCAGTGCTTATCTCTGTCCTGTCTTTCTTGTTCTCACATCTCCCCCTCCTTCCCACCCGATTCCATCAAGCCTCTGCTGCTTTCTCTCCCTGACCTACCTGCTGCTCACGCTCTCGGCTCTGGCACACTTTCACCCCCACCAGCACATTTAATTGCAATGTTCCATTTCATTATTAGCTTGTCACCACCTTTGTCAAGTCACCTTTCCTAACAAATCTCACCGCAAAGCTTTCCTGCATAGCTTGTCATCAATTTTCCACATTAGGGCTCATCTGAAACCATGTGCAAAAGGGTCTGTGAAGATTCATGGCTGCAGTGCTGTATTTATTTGTGAATAAAGAGCAGCACCAGTGAATAGTGCTACTGTACAGGCAGAGACAGATTTACTGTGTGCCCAGCTCCTGCCAGGCTCATTGCACAGAGATGTGTCTATGTGTCACTCAAACAAAGCCTTTCCCTTCCCCGGGATTTTCAGGTTCTCTGGGCAGTGGTCTCTACATGCACGTGGAGACCAACCCCAAGATCATTAAGTCAGCAGAATTCTTCCTATTAACCCCAGTCAGTGTTGGATCAGATTCTTGTTGTGCGTAGTAAGTTAATTAAACAAGTTAACAATTGCATGCAGTGCAGGTGGGCTGGCACCAGGCGTTTCTGTGGGATTCTGCTGCCTCTCAAGTGCAGGGTGGAGCCCTGGCAGCCAGATTTAGCCTCCCCCGGAGTGCAGCCAGCGAGACACGGTGGCTTTCTGCAGACTGGCAACCACAGAACCATTTTTTTCTGTGTTACAACCCCAAATTTCTAGCTTGTGGCACTCAAGTAATTTTCAGAGTATGGTTTAGCTTATTTTAAGTGTGTTTTACACGTGGGTAAACTCCAGCAAGGCAGAGGACAAGTGGCAGATGGTCAGTGACAGAGCCAGGAATAGAATGGAGGACTTCCTTGTCCCAGGACGTGGTTGTAATTGACTTTGTCCCAAGATTGTGAGATGTGATGATTTATAATTCATGAGACTTCAGCAGTGATTTAAAAAAACCCCAGCTATTACTATTCCCAGTTTTTTCTGGCAGAGGCTGGCTTCCCATAAGCAAAACGATTTCAGTGTCTTAAGTCTGCAATTTGGGGCTTAATCTGTTCACTTTCTGACCCGTTTTATTCCTTTTGAGCTCACTTGGCTGTGCTGTGTGCACTGCTCATTTACATCTACGGGGAGAAGGATGAGGCTCCAAGACAACCCAACAGAGTACCTTTCAAACAGACCTATCTGTAACCTTGGTAAAAATAATCATAAAGATAATGATAATGGATCATTATAAACCCTATAACTGGCAAAACAAGACTCTGCATTTCAGAGGACGAATTGCCTTCCCCTGTCCAGTAACCCACTTTATGGTGCAGTAATGGATCTGCATCCGGAGGGTTATGCACTGAAATGGAGCCTTTGGCAAGATGGGATCACACTACAAATGAAGCAACATCTTCATGGGTTTTTTTTTAATATATGCATATTTGAAAATCTGGAACTTATCCCTTTTGACATAAAGAGACTGTCCCTGCTCAGAGTGATTAAATTCTAGGACAGATTATGAAATAATGAAGTATTTAAATATTATGATGCAGCAGTACAACAGTGCAGTTACCCTTCCTTTTACTGATTCAAGTATAGTATTTCTGAAAAGCCTTTTGCACTCCAGGGAAACTACTGACTATAAATTATAAAACAGGCAATAGAGTTATCATGCATATATGGGGGGAAAAAAGAACTTTCAGACCTTTCTCTAGGTAAAGAACTTACTGAAGCAGCTAAAAATATGGGAAATGGAGCAAACACAGGGTCTGATCCAAAGGCCACTGAACTCAGAGAAGCATGCAGTTCATTAGGCATCAGAGTCATGTATGTCATGAATTACAATTCACAAATGCAATTAAGAATGTTACTGTATATGAGTAAGGATAAAGTCTGATTGTCTAATTGCATTGTCTAGGTGTTCTACTTGGATAAAATGAGCAGATTTTTCTCCAGTAGGTAGACTTTCTCAGCAAGGATGTATTGCCAATATTTATGTGAGAGTTTGTGGTCCCAGAAGCACAGAAACGCTGGAAAACAAAAAGGAAAGAAAAATGTATCCAAGGAGGAGATCCAACTGCTTCCAAGTCGTTTCTAGAAATAAAATTCTGATGCGAACTCATTATCATTCCACTTTCCAGTGCCCATTTGCTTCCTCAAGATTTCAGAGTGTGCATCTGAGAATTCTGACTGTGCATCATAAAGTTTCCCTCAGCAACTGCTAAAACTATTCACAAGGCACTGCAGCATGGAGCAGCTCTCAAAGATGGAATGGTAAGAGCCCCAGGGATCAGCCTTTGGGATTAATCAGGGACAAAACAGTTAACTTTGTGCTTTGCTGTGTTGCTGCGGGTTGGGGGATCAAGCAGGTGCTGCCATACCTCTTGTCCTGTTGTTAGCAGGCAAATAACTGGGCACAGCTGGAGCTTGTTCTGGAATGGCTCTTCCCACAGGCCCTGGAAGCTCCAAGACAAATATCTGTGGCCCATTTTGTGGGAACGGGACAGCAGGAGGGTTGCTTGAGGATGGTCCAAGTCCTAATGCATGTACCAAAGCCAACTCGCTGTGTGTGCCAGCACTAACCTGTTTTAAGTATTGCTGTCATCAGTAGGGCAAGATAACAAAAGCTGCTCTTTATGGAGAAATATCAGGAAGGAAATTGTGCATGCAGATTGGCCAGCGAACACGACAGTCTGGGGCTGTCAGTGTACACACTGATACTGCTGGTTTGTCGCTATTTTCAGCAGCTCCTGCACCCTCAGGGGTGAGAGAAGGGCTTAACTGCTGCCCCTGCTGTTCAGGCATCAGCCTTAAAGGTTCCATGTGGGCTCCAGCTCTTTGGCCCATCTGGAGGTGATTTCTCCAAATAGCAGTTTTCCTCTGAATCCGTCCAGTTCATCACCCAGAGCCACACCACATGACACTGTGGTGCTGTGGCATCTCCTCTCGCATCAGATAAAAACCCACTTTCCTTCACTAGAGAACTCAGTTCCTCATTATTTGCACTTTTATTTATCTTTGAATCCTGCCCACGCCAAGCAATTGCATTCGATTACCTAAACATTCCCCTGACTTACTTCAGGCTCTAAACTCTTGTGTAGTCCTGCTGTTTAAAGTTTTTGTGTTTTGTTCTAGAGTTCACTTATATCATGAGGGGTGAAGTGTATCTGTCAGTTAACCACTTCTCAGGAGTACTATTAGGCTTAATTAATGTTTGTAGAACACTATTGAGATTCTCAAGAGAAGCAGCAATAGAAGTGCAAAGGATTATAATTAATTTAGAACTATCTCATTTTTTGAGTAAATGGCTAACAACACTTAAGGTGAGATTCTCCAAGTAAAACTAATTTATTTGATTCTTACATGAAAACATTCTGAAGTCTGGGTTCCATTTGCTACTTCCACTGTATGATGCATTTTGATCTTTATGGTCCTTCGATATCATTTGATGTATCCAGGCACGTTGCACAGCTTCTTTTAGTTCAGGAAACACAGTCCAATATATGTTAAGTCAAGTTAAAATATAATAACAAAATAACTAAGTCAATAAACTCAAAGACAATCCACAGCACCATTTAGTGTATTACACAGCACCTTTAGGATATTAAGTGTTTGAACCATAAAGCCTGTAATTAATATTATGGAATGATTCCCATATTTATTTATGAGGCATCTCATTTACATAAATAGTCATTATCTGGAAATAAACCCAGATCATTAAAATTCCGAAAACTGATTGAGATCAGTCGAGATGTACCAAAGAGATTTGCCACACTCCCTGTTTGAGAGTCTTCTGAGAGAAGAAATCTCTGCTCCCAAACAAGCTTAAACAGGCCTGGGCTGTGGAAACACAAGCAGTGCTTCATGCCCATGACATCATCAAACAGAACGGTTATTTTGTACAGTGAGAAAACATTGGGTCACTCTTCTCACTAACTGGCATGGAGAGCTTCCAAGAAAATGCTTCTGACACATCTGCACTGGAAATTTGACCCAGATTTTGGCTGGTGTTGTCCTAACACAGATTTCTGCTTTCCTGAAACTCTGCAGCAAGTCAAAATACTTTTCAAAATACTCATTTCTTTCCAAATACTTTAAATACTTACAGGACTTTCAATACTTATGCATCTAGTCAGGAAACACATTGTGCAGAATGAAAAAAAAAAAGAAGAAATGGCACTTTCATGTTTCTGTTTGCAAGCTGGATTCATCACTCCTCAGCTATTACCTACAGAGTCACAGCTATTTAAAATTATGTTCTGGTTGATATAAAGAACGTGTCTCGGGTCCTGCTGTCAGTGTTTTTGCCTTTCAAGACCCAGAGCGTTCACTATTCAACTTTTTCTAGGTAGAAATAAACCCACCAGTTTTTAAAAAAGCTACAGCTACAGGATATACCTTAAAAATCTGCAATTTCCCTGAAAATTCAGACCTGAGTCTGTCCTTTTTCAGCCTATGATGCATCTTTGGAGTGGAAGTGTAAGCCCAGAGCAAGGTGATAGACCATGATCTGCCCTGTTTGCATGATTATCTTACTAATTCCTAGAGAATGGAGGTTGGCTCAAGTACTGAGTCATGAGGATTTCATCTCAATACAGATATTTTTAGTATCTGTTATTTTATCTCGGGTGAAGTTTTTTCTGTATCTGTATCACTGCCCAACTCCTCTCCTAATTATCTGAAATCCTTCTGTAACTGCTTTGGAATGTTCCCTTCTCTTATTACAATATTCTCTTGTGTTATATTGGCTCCTAACTGCTCATCCGTTGATTCGGTCAGGTAAGAGTGTCCGTGCTGCAAGTGTGAGCAACTGCTGAGAAACGGGCAAAACAGAGGAACAACAGTAAATCTCCCCGGTGAGTCACCGTGAATTTAGGTCAGCCCAGGCTCTGCCCTTTGCTGAGCTCTCTGGGAGTTGGCTCCAGGTTACCTGAGGGAGCCCCCAAACTCATCAGACCCCCCAAATTAATGGTTGTGTTCCTTTGCCATGTGTCACTGCCGCTGCCATGGGGGGGGGGTTAGAGGAGATGAACACTGTCTTAGCAACTGGTCCACAGCCTGCAGCTGAGAAAGGATATGAGAACAAACACAAACCAAATCACCTTGAGAGTAAAATACAAACCCTATTTGTTTAACCCAATTTGTGCCAAATAATATTATGGAGCCTCTCAATCTCAGCCAGTTGAGGCTCAAAATCAATGTGCTGAGAGCAGAGGAGGGAGAGTGGTGTATCTGGTCTGGCTCATACCTGGGCATCCTCTGCTGCAACAGTAAGGGGCTCTGCAAAACCAGGTAGGCAGAGAAAACTGTGAATTAGTGAATAATTTAACTGGTTCATCACCTCCTTGAAAAAAGTATGACCAAATGTTGATGCAAAGAAAGTAATTCACATAACCAAGTTTGAATTTGACTCATAACACAGTAAAAAGCTACCTTAATAAATGGCAATTTTTAAAAATCACAGTCTGACTCTCGATACAACAAAAAGACTTCCAGTATAAATAATGGAATTGGAGGAAATGTCCTTGGCAAGTCAATTTGTTCCATGCTGCTGATGGTTCCTGTTAGTGACAAGGATTTGTTTTTCAAGAGGGAAACAATGGAAAACAGATGCAAAACCGTTTACCAGAAGGCCAAGCAATGGCAGCTTTTCCAAAATGTCAAGTGTGCAGAGTGGAGTCAATTTAAAAGAGAATTAATTATTTAAACTGAATTAATTTGACTACAATGAAGCCCTGTTAAGCCATCTCATCCATCCTGCTTCCAACTGTGCTACCCCTTACAGTCTAAGTCTAAGTACTGACCTCAATTTTCAAATACTTCAAACAAAAACTCCCTTACCCAGTCAAGTGCCAATATGTTGCTTTTAAAATATATTTACTGTATCCCTTCCAGGAACTCACCAAAACAATTGTATTCACCTCCTCCACCTTCCCAATTCATCCGAGTTTAGTCCCTGGGTCCCCTTTTTCCTTCTTTTCCTCTTTCAGCTTCGTACTTGTGGTGTTTTCCCGGAAGCCTCAGGCAGTTTCCATCGCTGCATTCATCAGATCCACCTTTGCCTGCAAGTCTGTCCTTTGCATAAAGTCCCTCATATCCTGATCTCAACACCTTTTCTCTTTTCTTTCATGCACTGCCTTGCTGTTGCTCGCCTTTGGGGACAGGAAGGTGACTGAATTTTAGGTCCACAGCTTTCATATGGAAGCTCATTTTCTCAAAAGCACATCCACACCTACTTCCCCTGGAACCAGTTGTCCCAAAGGGCTTCAGTTCCTCCTGGAACATGGGCCATAAAAAAGTTGTAATACACAGATTATCACCCCTAGAAGGAGTACTCCAGAGACCACTGTGCCCACTGTTTGCATTTTCCAGGTCAACAGGGATTTGCAATGCTACCAACAATTTAGAAGTGGCAATAATGTTTACCTTTTTCCCTGATATGTGGCAAACACCAACAGAGACACTGTTCCTTTGAAGTCTTTTGTTTCCCATGGGAATATCTGTAACCATTTCTACCAGTGGTAAGTCAGAGCTGTCACTTTTGGTTTCCAGTTTCAGCATGGGCAGAGGAACCATTCCAAAACCATCCTTTTCTGTCACTGTTGAAGCAAAACATCTGTGCTAGAATTTATAAAAAGTAAATTCCTTTATTTCTTCTATTTCATGGAGGAAAAGCACTCCTGTCTATTAAGTAATAAACTTAATTGCCCTGGGTCTTGCCTGCACTGGGAATGCATATTAATTTAAATGCATCAGTGTAAAAATCAGTCTCATTAAACTATCTCAAAGCCCTAAAATAGATTGAGCACTGTTCTAACACTTGCATATAATCATTCATATCAAAGTTATAATTTACAGGAGCTCATGATGAATATAAACAGGAATTAAAACAGCAAGGAAAAATGTTTAGTGGAAATGATATTTAAATTGATGGTTAAGAACTCTCTTCTGGAGCATATTCCAGGCTTTGGAGGAATACAGTAGGTAGGATCTGTATGGTGTACTAGAAACAACATATAAAACGTGAACACACGGAAGCCAAAGCAACACCCTCACCTCAGAAAGGCATTTCTGAAGTGATTTTGTGCTCTGCCACTTCCTTGCCGTGTGTGGGGAATGACTCACGTACACGTGGAAAAACGAGAGCGAGTTCTTAGAAACCATAACGTGTTCTTGATCAGTCACAACCGATGGCGCCAGGGCCCGCTCAGCGCATCGGCCCCGCACAGCCCGGCTGGGATCTCCATAGTTACCCTGGGCACAACACCACACACCGAGGTGCCTTTGTGGGGCTGATAGGCAGACAGGAAGCCAGTGAACATCTGCTACAGCTTGAGATGGTTCTGCCTCCAGCGACCGCCGAAAAACTTCAGGCTCTGCATTCGACGTCCCGCTCCCTTGGCCTTTGACACCAGCAGCTGTTGGACAGGAGATGTAAAATGTTATACCTGCTGAAAGGGAGGTGCACTGTTTTCTAAAGGGCCTTTGGGATGTTTAAAGGCAGTTTTTTCTTTCCTTTTTCTGATGACTGGAAACGCTGGATAGCAGAGTCTGCATATGGAGTTACTTCCTGAAGGTCAACCACTTCCTATTAACAACTATTTTTTTTTTCTCATGTTCTGTTTTCCTTTCCAAACCTGCTTTGTTTTGTTTTGTTTTGTTTTGTTCTGTTTTAAACACCAAAAACAATTGCCCCATATACTGAATAGTAATTATAATCATCCTAATCATCGTGAGGAAGCCATGTGCTTCCCTGGAGCAGGGCTGGGGCTTCCAGCCCAGGCAATCTGTCTTCTTGGAGCTTGACAGCATTTCTATAGCATGGACAGCCAAGGAACGGAGTTACACAAAATAAATACCAAACAATTTAGAGCAAACCGTTTCTTTGTTTAAAGAAAGAGCTCTCAAACATGAATTTTGAAAAGGGAGCTCAGCCAAAAAGTGCAGATTCTCTGCTTGTGTGTGTGGAGAAAATCTCTTCTCCACATAGTTCAGCAGTTCTCCACCACCGTAGGATTTTCATTTGCGTGGAAAACTACTAACAGGGAACCACTGACAGCAGCATATTTTTAGGATATTGAGGCCCGTGGCATCTTTATGTACTTCCTCTGAGACTGTAATTTTGTCTAGGATATTGCAACAGTTGTGATGAAATCGGATTTAGCCATGTACGGCAGATCCTTTGGGTCTGACGCCATGAGATGAAAGTGGGGTTCAGAGCAACAATGAGAAAGATGAAGACACTACTCCAGAGCTAGGAAAGTGTAGGAGAGAAGAGAATTTTGCCCAGAAATTCTATGCTCTGTGCTTTGGAGTTTTATGCAGGTTTTTTTGTATGTTCTATTCTTAAACTGCAGATGGATGCTGGTTTGCCGGAAAATAAATGAAGCACAAGGATGACTTCAAACATTTGCAGGAGCCATGCTGACACTCAAAATATAGAAACATCAAGTAACTTTCCTGGTGAGATCATAAAAGCAGAGCCACAGTGATCAAAGAAGAAAATGCAAGACTCTTACTCCATTTCTAATACAAGATCCATTCTCCTTCTGGGACCAGGAGCCTCCATGGCACAGAGATGCTCCCATAGTCTACAAATACAGTACATAAGGTGGGTCCTTTGACAGTATTTAATTTGTTAAATGTGGGAATATTCATAAATACAGTAGATGTAACCCTTGAGAGTGACAAATGACTGATCAGGTTATTATTGTATAATTGAGTCATGGAATCCCAGAATGGTTTAGGTTAGAAGGCTCTTTAAAGATCATCCAATTCCAACCCCCTGCCATGGGCAAGGACAGCTTCCACTAGCCCAGGTTGCTCCAAGGCCCATCCAACCTGGCCTTGGACACTTCCAGGGATCCAGGGGCAGCCACAGCTTCTCTGGGCAACCTGTGCCAGGGCCTCCCCACCCTCCCAGGGAAGAATTCCTTCCCAATATCCCATCTAACCCTGCCCTCTGGCAGTGGGAAGCCACTCCTCTTGTCCTGTCATTCCATTTCTTGTCCCCAGTCCCTCTCCAGCTCTCCTGGAGCCCCTTTAGGCACTGGAAGGGGCTCTAAGATCTCCCTGAAGTCTTTCCTTCTCCAGGTGAACCCCCCCCCAGCTCTCCTACCTTGTCCCCAGAGCAGAGGGGCTCCAGCCCTTGGAGCATCTCTGTGGCCTTCTCTGGACTTGCTCCAGCAGCTCCACATCCTTCTGATGTTGGGGATCCCAGGGCTGGAGGCAGCTCTCCCCATGGGGTCTCACCTTTGCAGAGCAGAGGGGCACAATCCCCCCTTTGACCTGCTGTCCATGCTGGGGATGCAGCCTAGGATACCTTTGCCTTTCTGGACTGCTCTCAATCTTCTGGATTTCACAGGGAACTGAATTTATTAAACTGTATTAATATTAGAATAATTAAATATATATCTTGAACTGTGTGCACATTGCATTTAACCAGCTTGGGAACAGGCCAAAACTTGAAGCAATTTTTAGGAGAATTGCAGAATCAATACATCAATTCCCATTAATTTGGTGTCAGAGGAAACAAATGTGTACCTGTCTGAAATGTGTGCATTCCCTGCAGAGATGTACTAAAATAGGCATCTTCTGTCTGCCTTCCCTGTGCCCTTCAAACATCAGAAACCAGGGCCAGAATGGGGGAAACCCAGACTGGCTCCAAAATCTAATGGAGACAATTTTAGTAACCCAGTATCCTGGACAAGTTACACACAAATCCAAGCCATCCTAAACTCTACCCTATCCACTGCACTGAGTTCCTTGTTGCTCCCCCAATGCTCCAGTCCCTCCAAAATTCATCTCTGCTTCAGGGCTGAGAACAGCTAGGCAGGCTGAGGAGGAACTGCTTTCAGTCTGTCACAGCCATGAGCTGTAATTCTGCACAGCAGTGAGAAAATATTAGTGACTAATCCTAATCGAGAGCACATTTTAAACCAGCCAGAGTTCTGGATCAGTCCAAGCTCTGTAAAATGTGCTGTGCTCCAAAGCAGCTGGCACATCTTGCTCACTGCACAGCTGGCTGCTGAAAAAACTCTTGTCTCAGGAGGTTTGCTCAAGCACATGAAACATATTTTTAGCTTCCCAAAGGTGTTTGTACTCACTGAGCTGAGAGTGCAACCTGCCTGACAGCAGCTTTCCAGAGGAAGGAGCAGGAGAGAGGATGATGAGATTACCCCCCACGGAAGGAGATTCCTGCTTGGAATATCAACACACCTTTTCAGTCTCTCTCATTGTGACTGTTTGTGCTTTCATCAGATTTTCCATTTGCTCCTTCAGCTACAGGACCAGATGGCTCCCACACATAATGCTCTGAATCATGGCAAGGCTGGAGGTGTTTGTTCTGTGGCACAGCAAACACACGCTGGACCAGGTTAAACCCCCTCTCAGCCACATATGGTGCACGCTGCGTGGAGCTGCAGCAGGTGCCTATGGATCCACACAGAGGAAGATCCTTTTCTTCTTGCAGGTTGTCAGGAAAATGACTGTCATACCTTCAGCACAAATAGCAGGGAATAGAGGCAGTGCAGTAACACATGGCACAGGACAGATGCTCGGCGCTTCCTGGGATGCACAATGCCTGATGGCAAGGAATCCTGGCGGGCCAAGGACAGGAGGCTCTTGTTCCCCCTCTGATTCCCCCGTGCAGCTTGTGATTAAACTGGTGCTGACACCTTGCCTGGTGCCTGTTTGCACAGCCAATTGCCCTGGGCAGGACTTCTGGCCATGAAGCACCTACTGGAAAAGGAGAGAATCTCATTGTTTGAGAGCATCTTTGCCCCTGGCATTTGTTAGACAGAAAATAAAACTGATTTTCTCCTCACTTGCCTCACGTAGATGTGGGGTAGATTCAAGCTGTGGCAGCCCTGTGAAATAAGAGTGAATGGGGGGTGTCTGCCAATGGAACAACCACTGCTCAGGAGGACGAGGCTGGAGGGATTGTCCCTCACTGATCCATCACACTTCTGAGCACTGAAAAACCCTGTAATAATGAAGGTGCTTTTTCAATACCTAGGAGGTGGCTGTTTCAGAGAATTCCAGCCTGCCATGCTGGGGCTCAGCACAGGCACCAAATCCCAGGGTGGCTGAGGGATGTCCCGGCTCGCATGATGGATACGGTGTGTGTGCTCTAGGCCACACAATGAGGGAGCAGCCAAGCATCTGGCCGTTCTCCAATGGCCACACTCCACCTCAAGTATTTTCTGAGATGAGAAAATTACCCTTTGGCTGTTTTTCAGCTTGCTTTCCTTGGGATGCATTTGACATTCCCTCCTTGTTGGGAGTGACAGGACACCTTGTGAGCAGGTGCTGTGCTGGCCTTTGGCAAGCAGCGGGACACCCGTCAGGGACTGGAGCAGTGACCAGGAATGTCACAACTGCAGCCTGTGCAGAGCAGCTCTGATGAAGGTTAAACATGTGCTGCCACCACCTCTGAGGTCAGCGTTGGGCTCACTTTAGCAGTCCTATAAATAGATGACCAAGGTTGACTGAAAAGAGGATTTGGCTCGGCTGGATCTTGTTTAGCATTCCCAAGAGAGGAAGGCAGATTCTTTTCCCTCTTCTCTTCCAGCCTCTAACCTTGAGTTGGTCTCTGTGGGAAGCATTAGTGGCATTTGCCAAAAGAGCTGCCGCCGTGAGCCGGATGTCCTGCTGTGTCACACAAACCACACGTACACGTCTCTTCAACCTGCTAACCCAGACCTAATTCCACTAAAGCCTCAAACTAATTCCTCGCCGGCAAAACTAGGGAAAAAACCCAAACAAACCTTGAGCCTAATTGCTTGAAAACAGTAGGACACCTAGTGGATTTATAGGGAATATCTTTGGGATTATCAGAAACATTTTGTCATTTTCTTGGCAAAACCAACTGTGAATATATTTATAGAGGAATCATTGAAATATCAGGATTTCTATTTAATAAATTAATCTTGTTATAGCTGTTACAGCCTGCAGTTTTCCTGAATAAGTTATTGCAACCTATAAAAAACCCAAAGAGTGTTGTTTGCATGACTTGAAAAAAAAATAATTGTGGAGAACTGGATGGTTCCCAAGGTCTGGGAACAGGAGAAAGGGTATTCTGCCAGATCAAAGCCATCCCAGTTGTTCCATCTGACAGCTCTCTAATGATCTTAATGAGCAAAATTCTACGGTCTCAGCCTGGCTCCCTGTACAATCGTGCAGCTTCACATCTCCATGCTGAGCACAGCCAAGCAGCTCTGCTGGTTGTTTCAGCAGAGAATGACTTGGCCACAGAAGTCAAACTGCCTTCTTCATTCCCCAGGGCCGCGCTTTTGAATCCAAATGAGAGGATGATGGGCCATGTGACAATGGCTGCTCTGCTGTCGCTCAATTTGTCTGGTACCAACACCAACATCAAGCAGATTTTGACTCTAGATAGGAAATATATCTCTGTGGCAGGGCGTGTAAGAGGAAGAAGATTTGGAGTGATGGTTCTATGAAATGATATCCTGGCCAGCAATTATCCTGGGGTTGCCAGTGTTATCTTTGCTGGGATGTCTCCGGAGGCAGCAGATGCAGACAAAGAGATGAGTGTTGAGTCCAAAATGGATGCAGGAAACTGAAGACTTCATTTTGACAGTCAGCACAAGGAACACCAACTCATCGGGGCGTGCACTCAATTCCTCCCCAAAGCACACTGAAAACTTCCTTTCCCTTCTGCTTATTCCATAATATTGTCCCAGTGAAAAATGTCTCCAGAAGATGGTTAATTTTTCTGCTCCCTTGCCACTCTTTCTTCAGTGCTGCTGAAACCCCTAAAGAACAGCAAAACCAGGATGAGGTTTGATTTTTGGATAGGTCCCTGTTCAGATCCAGGTCTTTTTTTTTATTCCAACCTCAAGGTTAGGAAAGAAAAGGCTGATCTAGAAATTAATTTTGATTTGGTCTATTTCATCTTATATCTTTTCTTCTCAGAGCTGCAGAACTCAGATGGTGGAATTCAAGTGAGCTATCAGCAGAAAAATTCCTGTTGATCCATGTATTTTCATTACTCCTACCTCTGGCATGAAATTACCTGAAAAATAGAATTCCTTGCACGTTGTAGACCCTTTAATTTGGTCCAGGGTTTTAAAAAAGAGTGGTTTTTTTTTTATTTCTGTGCATGGATTTTATATTTGAAGGGGTTTTTTTCTGACTGATGTGTCAGAATGGGGGTAGAGTGTGCTAAGAGTATGCTTTTGTCTAATTTAGCAGCTGGATTGGAAAGCTTGAATTATCTCTGCATAATTGCAATGATTCATGGATTGTTAGGAAATTGCAAAGTATTGATTGGATTTTCCCCTTAGGAAATATTTCTCCTCTGATAAAACAGAGGAGGTTCTGGGGTTTTGCTTTTGTCCTTCCTGCTTTCTGCCCCAGGGAAGCCAGGGGCTGCTTTCATCTGGAAAACAGGAATTTGGGTCAACAGCCATTCAAGGACAGTTTTGAATTACTGCGATTTCCAATTCCAAATCTTTCCCTGAGCTTTGCAGAGCGATGGGCTTGGCGGAGTGTGGGCAGGGATTTCCAAGCCTGAAAAACTGGGATCAGCAACAAATACTGGCCATCCCTCTTTCACATTCTTCCATTTCCATGTCAAACACTGCTGGTGTGCTCTGCAAAGAGACCTTGACCTTGTCGTGGGAATGCTACAGCCATCGGAGATGGTGGCAGATTTTCCACTTTATTAGGCCAGGATTTCTCTCAGGGTCTCAGGAGCCTGTGGGAGGAGGGAAGTGGGAGACTGAAATGAAAATCAGGTGCAGGGAGAGCCTGCACACAGTGCCTGGGGCAGCCAGAGCTGGGAGCCCTGACACACATCTGCACATTAATGGTGCTGGGCCCTTTTGGCAGCTCTGTATGAATTTCCAGAACAGAACCATAAATACGCAGTTATGATGTGACCTCTGCTGCTTTTCTTCTCTTAATTGAACATCCAAGGCCCAGCTGAGTATCATTCCTTGTCTCTGCTCCAGTTGCTTGGAACGTGCTGCCTCTGCAAATGGTCCTGCCTAAGTTAGGAATTACGAGAGTGTGCTAATTCAAGGTTTGCCATGAATTTAGTGTTCCCTCAAGGATGACACTAATGGCAATTAATGCAGCAGAAATGCCGGTGCTGAGTGACTGTTCTCCCATTAAAAGCTGTCAGTCAGAGAGCACAGAGTCCTCTGTTCTTTCAGGCCTGACCTCTGCTTTTTGGCCATGTTTCATGTGCACGGCAGGTGTCCTGGGCCATCCCATCCCACTCCCCACCCCGGCTTGCTCCAGGAGGGGACACAAAGAAAGAGCAGAGCAGCCAAAACCAACCTGTGCTGACAGTGACATTTCCTGAGGGTTTGGATATTCTCATCTGGGGCCTGAACAGCAACAAAATTAACCCAGGATTGAACAGGATATAAGACTTTAATTTCTAGAGATCCCTGCTAGTCCAGCGCTCTCCTTGTGCTCTGCTCTGTTGATTCTTGTTTAGACACGGAGCTCTTTCAGTTTTCACCATGAAAAATCTGATTTTAAATGATCAAATGCATTTAAACAGGCTTAGCTAGAAATAGCCCCCACTGCTTCTCAGCTACATGGCAATCTGCACAAATGTCCATGTTTTGGTAAAAATGATTGGTAAAAATACCTCTGCTTCGTAATGGCTGATGTTCAACAAGTGACAGCAGTGCAGCAACATGGGGACTGTGATTTTTAGCTCAGCCAGAAGAGCCACTGCCCTCACTCTGTGCCCTGATGTCCTGCACAGGATGTGCCAGTTCCAGATGAGGAACATCTGCACTTTGGTGCAAGAGGAAGTAACACTTACGCACACAAAAAAATGTAAATAAAGGGTGTTTCCAGGCTCACCAACAAAATCCTAAACACAGAAAGGAGAACAGCTCTTGCAGGAGAATAATTAAAAATAGTTCACCTGTGTAATTTTTTAAGTGTTTTTAGCACTAATAGCAATTCTGGAGGATGAAACCAGGTCTGAGAAGCATCAAGTGAAAATTAATAGCTTTTTAGCAACAAAGTTCAATGGAGAAGCGCAAATAGGATGTGAGATGGAAACCTGAACTGCCGAGTTATAAATACACCCCAGCCTCTCCGCAGACAAATATCCATTATCCATTTAATGTGCTGTAGGATTGTGAGGGGCAGCAGAAGCGGGATGAGCATTTTCAGACTCAAGATTTTGAGTGTTCTGGGTTTATCTGGAGACAAAAAGGATGAATCCAAAGACCCCAGAGACCACCTTGCTGCTACACTACCAGAGCGCTCTCTGCTCTGCCAAGGTCTGGCCTTGCAATGCCCTTATGGGAACTGGCACATGGGACACATGGAACAGAGCCCTGGGGATGTGAAGCCCTGAATGCTTGTTGGGTTTTGTGCCCCTCTGAGAAGCTGGAGGTGCATGATCTGCCTGGGCACGTGGGAGGCTGGTGGCAGGATGTGAGCCTGGACTCCAATGCTCCAATCTCACCCTGTGCTCCTGTGGTGGGACACACTGGGCTCACATCTTACTGTGTCTCCATTATTAATGCTTTGTTTGCCCCTCTCAGAGGCTCTGAGGCAGCGTGAACTATTTATTTTTAAAGGCAGAGGATCACGTTCTGGCTCGTTATCCTTCCAGCAGATGGTAACTGATGCCCAGCGCTGCTGCCGGTGCCCGGGGGTTACTTTGCACGCACAGGAATGATGACACAGCCACTGAGTGCAGCCATGGCAAACATGCTGCTGCTAACGGCAGCCTGGTGGGAAAAGAGCATTTTAGAGGGATTTGGTTTAATCATCTGGATGCGAGCGCTATTTTTATCCTCTGCTTTTTAGGTCTCAAGCCTGTGCCAAGGGAAGCTGATGACGAAGCTGGTGTCTCCTGTGGCACAGGGGCACACAAGGGTGACCGGGGCAGTGTAGGCAGTGGGGAAGGGGCCTGTGATTGCAGCCCCTTTGCACTT